TGTGTGTGTGTGTGTGTGTGTGTAGCATCCAACTAGTAGGTTGCAATAGACAGTTCATCAGCAAATTTGACAGACTTTATTAACATACTTTGAAGCTGAGGCTCGACGATGAAAGTTCCATCGAAAGCATGGTCTTCACCATTTGCATTCTGGTATGTCACCTTGAAGTTAAATGCTCCCGACACGAACAATTGAATCTCGGCCTGTCGTTCTCCGATACCATATCGCTCCAGGCGACTACTTGTATAAATGCTTTATGAGACGGAGGGTACAATATAATGTATAACTTTACTATGGAGTGCAGAGCGTGGTATAGGTTGTCGACTAAACGTATGTATGATCTATGAACTGAACGCAATAGTGCCACACATTAGTAAATCCGTAGTAACAGATAACCTGGTATTCTATGAAGAAGAAGAAAAACTCAGAAATTACCAGAGGGTGTGATGTAGACAACTTATCTACAATATCGACATCACATACAATTGATCATAAAAATCAACAATACTTACAACTGAAGTTCCCGATAACTATCTCGATCAAATTCGGCACCATCTTTCGGGAAATTGGTCGTAAAGTGAATCGCTTGTGCTTGAAGATCCTTGCTTAGTGTGAACGAGAGCTGGGAACCTAAAGTTTCAAAGAGATGATATTATACTTCAATTGTATACAACTGGAAGGCAGCCTTGGGGCACAGACTACACCGTTTATTTGCAACGCGTTCAAGGTAATCGAACAATAAATACAAACAAACCTTTAGGCATTCGATACAAAATATGGGGCGCATGACGTCCATCATTGCCTAGTTCGATGCAGAAATGCTTCGGCAATGAAGCTTTAGCCATGTTGTCTGTATCGTTAGAGTCAACTAATATGAATGTACACTATGCCAGCCAGATGCAAAGTGTTCATTTATATGCCTATGCAAAGAGCTATGGATTCGGGACGACATACTTTTTCAATTCTGGGTTTGTACACAAAATTGGTAGTTTAGGACAGGATGCATACTAATTATTTGGCTCTGGTCCTAAACTTTAGCTCTTTCTCGTTAAAACGCTTTTTTTTTAAATACAACAGTTTTTTTGCCTGTTTCTTTAGTCAAACGCTTATGTACTTATAGTAGGATGTACACACAATACTTTCGTGAGGATTTCGAATTTTCTTAGAACAGTTGATCTTTTTACGTTAAACGTAAATCCTTTTTCACGTTTACGTTGAATGTTTACTGCATCTAGTGCACCCTATTGACGTTACTCCGGATCCCTACACTCCAAAAAATCCGAGCTGAGCTCTTTTTGGAATTTCAAAATTCGAATTATCAAATCGAAAATCTAAACTATTTTTGGATCAATCGAATTGCGAGAACAATATAAACAACAGATTTGGTAATTATCGATTCATCTCAATTCATTTATTTACGGGACTAATTAATTTTGAGTATGTCACTAATCAGATATCAGTAAACAACACAAGTCACAGAGTCATTGTTTTCTTTCAAAATTACTCCATAGAGCCTCCTAAATTGAAAGTTGAAAGTTGAAAGTTGAAAGCCTACTACAATTAATAGCAGAAGAAGAAGAAGGCTATGCGTACTCAAAAATTATTGTGTGTCAATACTGCCAAATCTGCCAATACGACAAATAGCGTCAGAAATGAACAAAGCAGCGCCAATTGCCAAAGGCTTTAAAAAAAACTATATCCGAAGCCGCATATTATGCCGCTATTTATACGGCCAGCGCCATCAACAGGTAAATAGTGCATTTCCGTATATGAATTGCGAGTATACAAATCAAGACTACCTCTCATAAAACCTCGACAATGTAGCGCCATTTCCATACATAAATTGCGGGTGTACAAATCAAGAGAGAAATAGTCTAGCATAAAACCCCAAAAGAC